ACTCTTCCAAATTTGTTGCTAATGCTAATATATAAAGTGCATTGAAACATCAGGTATAGAAAATGGCATAGATAGATAGATACAGAGACAGGTGTGTGTACATTCCATCCATGTATTCAAAAGATATATACATATTTGTTTATGAAAGATTAATCATCACTGTAATTGTTTACCAACAGTAAGAAGTGAAAAAAAAATATTGATAACGAACTGAGGAATAATCAAGTAAAACACAAATTGGATAGAAAAAACTATACACAAAAATTTAGTGTTATAAGTAATCAAATATTATGTATGCTTAGCTCTTGTTCAGTGTTATACTATTTCTGAAAGTGTCATACCAAAAACATAAACGATTATGTAAACAAGAAAATCTGAAAGAAATTATAGAGAATTTTAAGAAAATAGTTTTTTTTTTCTTTTTGTCTAAATTTTTGCTCAAGAAAAGCGTATGTCAATGTGTTTCTGATGTCGTTGACTTATGTTGGTGCTATTATTGTGTTGTAATATCATTAAAAGATTAAGGCTTTTTTGTTTCAAAGAACCGATTTTTGCAAATTGCAGTTAATCAAAACAGATGCGGTTATATAACGGATGACGCCGCGCAAAACCTCAGTGCCGATGTACACAACACCACAGTTCACTGTTGCATTACGCATTTTCAGAACAAAGAACTTTGGAAGAGCCAAACCGGGGAAGAAACTTGAAAAACAGAGAAAGGCTTAAAAAACGATCTTCTGAAATATAATCGACGTTAAATACCAAACAATTGATTTAATGTGCATTCAGAACTGCAGCGATGAAATAACCCAAATTAGTTTACGCACTTTAAAACCGAATTAACCAATTGCAACTTCACTGATTTCCCTATTGCAAGCTTAATTTGAGTACATAGAAGAAGTCTGAGTACATAGAAGAGTACATAGAAAAAAAAAAGAAATTTGGCTTTTTCATTACTTTTTAATATTAATATGTGTGCTTTTCATACTTATTTTAATGACCAGACAACAACTGTTGCACAAATGGGAAACATACAACCCGTCAAAGTTACTGAACGTATAGACCACTGTTAGCTAGATATAATTTAGAACCTTTCACTCTGCAAAATTAATGAGTTCTGATTCTTGATGCTGCTATGAATAAGTCAAATAAGAAACTTCAACTCAAATTTCAGATTATACAGCTTAAAGCGGTCTTCTTAACACTTTGTGAAGAGAAATGAGGTATTCTGCAGAAATATTTAACGTTTATTGAAACTGTGGTCAAAGTCTACATTAGTAGTAGACAATGGAACGACAGTGGTTACCTAATCGGTCTGATGCAGCATTCTCGTAGTGAACTCTATTTCCTTACAGCTTCCAAAGACAGAAAAATTTGTGAAGATTCAGTCGGGTTAAAAATACTGCTTAAATTGGCTAAAAAAATGGCATATATTTCTGCTGGAAATTCTTGAAACTTGTTGCTTTACTAGCTCAAAGAACAAAAAAAATGTTCAATTTTTTCCTGAATTTGCTGTTGAAAAAACACACCCAATTGGCAGCTAACAGCATCTAATTCTTCATCTTCACTGATAATAAGTTTAGTTGTGACTTTTATCCTTTACAAGCAGAAATCAACGTGAGTTCTCAGGTCTACCAATTAAAAACGCAGAATGATAGCAGAAGAACCGTTATAGACAAAATTACTGGCAGTGGAAGTTTGTTGTCAGTACAAATGCGAGATGTCCCAGTAAATCTAGTTAACAGTTGTACCGCAGCAAATTTTCTAAATTCGACTGTTGTTTAAATTGTTACACGATCTATAAAAACTGAGAAGTTCAAGCAGAGGGTGAAAAATCAATATTTTAACACC